CTCCCTTCCCCAACACCTACGTACCACTTTCCTACTAGTTCCCAGCTTCTTACCAGTTTTTTCCGAAACTTCCCACATTTTTCACTCAAAAATTTTCCATCGAGCGGCGAGGAGGGGTCTTGGAAGCCAACTATTACTTTCAACTATCGGAAATAGTAGTTGTGTAAAACTTTGGTGGCGCCGGCCAATTAGGTGGGGGTGAGGCAAATTTCTCTCAAAGGGCGCATGCTACCCTCTCCCCTCACCCAACAACGACCAAAGACGTCCCTCCCCTCCCCAGCGGCCAAGTACGACCCCCATGTGTTTCATACAACGATGCTGTACCCTGTAGGGACAAGAAAGTGGTAGCTAGAAATTCCAATTTTGCATTCTATTTATCCTTGTATTTTTACTTCGTAAATCATAGATTATGAGTTTTTAGTGAAAACGTTGAGCTTACTCCGCTTTCCAAAAATAGCTCAGGGTTTATACCTTACGAAAAAAGGTCTTTTCAGCATCAGACAACTGGGAAAACGTGGAAGACAAGCCAGATGTCGAGGAGCACACACTGCCTGCAGAAGAGCTTCCAGCATATGATGAAATAGCAGCGAACGTTGAAAAGTAAGCGCGATTGAAAACCATCTAGTTCTCTGACAACGAATGTTCCTGTCCCACAAGAATGAGGAAGCGTAGTGTTTGAAGGCAGGCTTCGCGATTAGATGCTCTCCTCGCGGGCGAGCGAGCTCGGCCCGCAGTGGTACCAGCTGCGCCATTTTGCACGTAGCAGAAGCGAGTGACGAGGACACCCATGCTGTCATTTTTCTCTTCGACCCACCCACCTTTATGGGCCCCGCCCACAGTCCTTCCAACTTTTTTAACGGAATACCCGTCAACGTTATTGTCGATATCCAGCGATTAATCACGACGGCTACATCTACCACAACGCCACTGTTGATCACACCCTTTAGCCCTCAGATCGTACAATGCGCTTGTTAGGGGGTTCTATTCAGGACATTTGTGACGAACGATTTTTATTTTTATGTTTCCTTTCATCATTGACTTTCTTTGCGTCTTGGCACCTCCGTTTGAGCTCCACTACACAGAAAATCTGATCGCGGGCTTTGCCTTGAGTTACTTATAGACCATACGGAACAATAGAAAATAATAGTATTGAAAGTAAAATATGAAAGTATAAGCAGAGAAACAAGTACCACTATAATAAAAAGTTAACTCAAATCAAAAAATAACTTACTACAGATTTGTCGAAGCACCAGGCAAACGGAACGTCGCCTATAAATGTTCCATAACCAGGGATAAAAGAGGAATGGATAAAGGGATCTATCCAACGTACTATCTTCACCTCGAAAGGGAAGATAAAAAGAAGGTAGTTCTGATCTACCAAAAATTATCACAGCATCATATTTTTGCGTTTTTCCAGATTTTTCCTTCTGGCGGCTCGACGGCGAAAGAAAAGCACAACGGCCAACTATCTTATATCAACCGACGCTACTGACTTGAAAAGGGAAGGAACAGCGTTCGTTGGGAAAGTGAGGTACGGCTTATTCATGGCGTGATTTCTCTGAAGTTTTCCCCAACAGAATTTACTTCTTAGATGTTTTTTTCTATTTCTTTTTTTTGATTCGATTTTTTTCGTAAGTCGAGACTATTCTATGGCAGAAACTAAGCATGGAAAATTCAAGAAGGCTTTATTCTTCATAGAGTTGTATGCCGCGGAGTTGGTTACCGATGTTGCCTTCTACTATGGTGCTGCGCCTCTTTATTATGGTCCTAGGGAAGCTCGCGTTGGATGTTAACAGTAAGAGCGCGCACTCCGACTTGAACTAAACCCACCCTCAACGAAGTAATGCAAGTTAACTGTAGACCTTTAACACACCAAACGGTTGGAGTAGTTGAAGGATACTGTATTGATAGAAGAAAACGAGCAAGCGTGGTATGGTTGTACAATGTGGGGAAGATTTTACGGTCCTTATTAAGGTCGACACGCCTCGGAACGATGTTCACCTTATAACGATTTGGTGGAGGCGAACCCGAGAAATCGAACCATTAAAGCGGATGTTCGACAGGAGCTCGCTGCTGTCATATATGTATGTCAACGTTGATGATGAAGTGTTGATAAAAATCTGGATCAATAGAAGAACAACAGTAATCCCCAAAAAATACCCTTCAGACACAAATGTACTGGGATTCAAAGGTCCCAGAAAAATGCACATATTGATCCCTGGTATCTACGATGTCAATACCTACGAGCGCAAGTCTATTCGTCCCAGTGGCGGTAACGACGTTCAGACTACTACTCCCCTTTAAAATACTTTTTACTTCGAATGGTCTCATCTGCAACTTGGTTTTGAAGCAACACTCCTTTCATTTTTGCCTAAACTTTTTGCACTTTGTTCTACAATCTCAAGGCACACGCGTAATGGGGGCGGAGTCAGCCTGGCATCCTGTCTTCCTCATTAATGTCACCCTGCTCTTGACGATGAAAAATGTAAGCGTGGTTGGATCTATCTCCGGCCCCCATTTGATGCGCTGACGCCGCCCTCAAATAAATTGACAAATGGAGGCCATTAATAATGTCACAAATACATTTTAATTAAAAATAAAAGTTGTACGTACCTCCTATAAAAGTTAAAAACCTCACAACGCAAATTGTCCTGTTCCATCGCTGCCCCAATGTAAAACGACTGTTTTGACTTTATTTCAGAATGTTGAGAGTCTACTTACATTGTGGACCGCAATAAAAAACACACTTAATGAATCTTGAGGGCCTAATGATGCCGCGCCCTACCGATTCAAACATGTGAATTCAAAATCCTTTCGAAGTTTTTCAGCAGTACCCCCTTCTTTAGGTGACTGACTGCCTGACTGATATGCTTTAGGCCAAGGACACATTGTTGGAGCGGTACCGGCAGAGACGAACGGATGACATAATAGTAATGCAGAACAAGAGTCCCGTGTGGAACGAAGGTACGATAATCCCTTATAAGCTTTTCGAACTTTACTTCTTACGCCGCCTTCCTTTGCTATATTGAGAAAGGGAGAGTTAGGTCGCGTTCACGACTATGTAGGCGCCTAGCAGCGTCGCGCTACATGAGCGTCGCGCTACCTGCGTCGCGCTAGCAATGCAGCGTCGGCGCTACCTAGCGTCGCGCGTCCAGGTCGCGCTAAGACAGCGTCGCGCTAACAGAGTGCGCGCGTAACCCAGCGTAGCGCTACAGCGTCGCGCTACAGCGTAGCGCTACGGCGCCGCTTCGCAACGTACTGCAATTTCCAACGTTAGGATGATTAGAGTTGCTTACAGAGAAAACAGTGGGAAGGTGTTGTGAGGTTTTCTTTGAAAGGAATTCACGAAAGGTGAAGCCCCTGATACAGCTTGTAAGCTATCTGACCGTCTTTGACAGTTGACCGCCAATTAGTCACTACGTATTTTCTGGGTACTCGCTTTTGCGTAACAGTGTCCTTTGTCCTATTAAAGAGCATTTTCTGCAAAAAACACCCAAAGAGTACTCGCGCCACCTAAAACACGCATGCATGTTTTTTTACCGGAGACACAAGAACCATGAAGGAACTTCTTGTTTGCATTGTGCTAACGCATTGGTGATCAGACAGTCTTCGCGTGCCTGTTGTGGGAGATGAGGCCATTTTTTTCTGCTGCCGACAAATGCGACTCAATACTGATACTCTCCTAGGCCAAAAAAAGTACAAGAAATTGTCAGGCTTTGTTGGCTGTGAATGCCTCGAAAACCGGCATAAATAGATTCTTTTTCGGCGTGTGATCCAGAGCAGAGATGGGGGGCAAACTCTAAAAAGCAGATTTCGCCGCGAGAGAGAGTTGAGTAAGCGGCATCTGGATTCCGTATTCATGTTTTTTCTAGTATTCAATCCTCTTCTCCTTGTTTCTAATATTCATCTAATATGAGCTCTGTTTTCTACTTTATCACATTTTAATGTAGTTTCGCAATCGGGATCAAAACGACGCAGCACTGCAAGACATCAAGCAAAGCCATAAACATCAAGCAACTGTGAAACCAAATAACTTAAAGTCAGAAACGATAAATAAAACCAATTACCACAGTCTTCTGTATCAAAAACTACATCAAAATGTGATAAAGTAGAAAACAGGAGCTCACTATCAGATAAATATTAGAAACAAAGAAAAGAGGATGATATAGAAAGAAAAAACATAAAAGCTGGAGTTCGGTACAACTGTGCTCTACAGGTTGTACCGAACTCCATATGCTACCAAGCCGCTACGCTGTAGCGCGACGCTGTAGCGCTACGCTGTAGCGCGACGCAGTAGCGCGACGCTGTAGCGCGACGCTGTAGCGCGACGCTGTAGCGCGACGCAGTAGCGCGACGCTGTAGCGCGACGCTGTAGCGCGACGCTGTAGCGCGACGCTGTAGCGCGACGCAGTAGCGCGACGCAGTAGCGCGACGCTGTAGCGCGACGCTGTAGCGCGACGCAGTAGCGCGACGCTGTAGCGCTACAAGTGTGAACGCTGCCTTAAGAAGTGAAGCCTGCCAATGCCAGGAAGAGACGGGACATGTACGGGACATGATATAAGAATGAGCATCTCTGTGAAAGGGATCTGAGCAGCAATGAGATCAGAATTTTCGAAGCCGTGTTGAAAAAGGGTTTTCTAAAGATTGTGGCCCGATCTTAGCGAATAGCAAGCAGCATATCCCGAAAGAGCAAAGCTTACTGTTCTTTGTTCGGCTCCTTCTAGCATTCTCCGCCAATCTGTAGCCAGCAAAACAACCGTGCCGTCTTCTCTGGCTTCCTGTCTCTCACTTTTGCACTTTCCATAGAAGAATAGCATCGTCGGCGGCAGGCATTGTAAATGCGATTTGCAGATTCACAGTCATATGTGCTCAATTTCCACGGCCGCGTCACTCAAGCGTCAGTGAAGAATTTCCAGATTATCCACGATCATGATCGTAAGTTTTTATTTGCTGTAGAATCTGTATCTTTTTCCGAATTCATTGCAATGTACAGCACCGTCGGAACAATCGCCACGTTGGTCCCCAGAGCGGTCCGTGCCGCATCCTGGGGAGGGAGGCGGGATACGTCGCAGCTCGCAAGCGCGTTGGGGATAATTGTCCGGAGGGTAACAGATATTTAACCGGTGCCCTAGACTCTCTCAGTTTCATAGGCCTCCTACACCCGTAGCTGAGGAGCGGCAAAACGCGCGACGACCTTTCGCTTACTCCGAGCGTCGGGGGCAGGACGAATTTTTCTGAAGACTGGAAGAGTAAAAGAGGTAGGAAGTTTGAGAATAATTCAAAAAGTGTCGAAGGTGTAAAGGAAGGGTGTCGTCCAAAGAGGATCCATTTCTCACATCATGCTTGCCCTGGTTCGATACAGCAGACGTGACAAGGGAAAAGGCTGGTTTTTTGAAGTAATAAGAAGTTTGGAGAAGCCAACAAGCAAAAGCTGTTTAGGCGTTATATTGTAGAGTAAAGCCAATCAAGCCCTAGCTGGAAGTCCAGAAACCTCATACTTTGCGTCTTCGCATGTATGATCAAAGTAGTAACTGTTCCTATAAAACCACACAACAACAAGTCTGGCTGTGGCGCATTGTCGCCTGCGCTACACAGGGAATCCCGAGCTTCTAACCGACGGGATATCCTCACTCTGACCTCTCACCCAAGTCCCTCCTCAGTTTGATTGCGGCCTACACACTCTAAGACAACGCCCAATCGGTTGCCTCCAAACATAACGTGGGAAATACTTGGCGAAATTTCTGATATTTATCTTATCCTCTTCAGGCACATTAACTAGCGCTCACCCTTCCCTTCCTTCCTTCACAACATCGCTCGAGACAGCCTAGTCCAGTCCCAGCGAACACTTAATGAGAATATGGGCTAAGCCCAACCTGGGCTAAGCCAGACCCCAGGCGCGACTCGAACTCGCACCTTACGCTTATGGCGAGTGCATGTCTATTAAGCCACATTGTGCCTTCAGAGCAGCTTTTACCCTCTAAGCGAAAGTGTGGTTGGGTCCCGCCTGGGGTCCACTTTATCCCATAGGTCCCATAGCGCAAAATGCGGCGGAAACAGCTACTATCATAATGAAAACCTCTTCAAAAAGCTTTTGGTTGGTTCTTCTTTTTTGGAATGGTTTCACAGCTTTGCTTTTACTTTTATACACTATTCAGGCTTTAAAAATATAGCCGTTTGTATTGCAGCCGACTACATTGTGATGCAGTTTGGTCGGATATCAGACGAATGTTTCTCGATGGATTTTCGCTATCCACTGAGTGCTCTCCAGGCGTTCGGAATCGCCATGACAAGCTTTCATGGTAAACTCGCGTGCGAGTGAAACTCGTCCAGAACGAGTGACGAGTCTCAATCATTTGTGGAACTCATTTCTGCTCCCCATTGCAGTACAGGTCAATCTTGGCATCCTTCGGTGTCCCCATATTCTCTCCTTTGCCTTTCACACACATTTGTTCTACCCATCAGATCTCGACATTCTAGTCTGTCTCTCTTTGGAACGCCAATATTATCATATTTTTGTGTATTTCACTTGAATTTCCTTTTTCAGATATTTTTGTGAATCCCTAAAAATAAAGAATTTTCGTGAAGTTCTTGTTTACACGCTCTCTCAGCGCATCGTTAGGTTGCCGCTTTGGGACGACCGCGGGAATGCTGCCGACCCAAAGCAGTTTCCCAGTGGGATTCCCAGGTAAAAAGCGACTCTCGTTCAAGTTTCTCTTCGATGATCGTGCATCTCAAGAATGTCCCGGACCACCGGAAACTCTTGATAAGTGGTGAAGCACCAGTTTTCTACGCAACTTCGATGGCACCTACGCTCTGTTGAGAGCATAAAACGAGTTGTTAATCTAAGAACCAGTTCTGAAACTACTACAAGCGGCGCTGATGACCCAACAAAAGGTTACATTTCTTGATTACTGCAGTAGAAACTCTGCTGCAACAACCGCTGCAAACAACCATTTCGGGTCACGTCATTATCCTGTTCTTTAGTTGGCGCAAAGGAGAAAGCTTTAAATCAAGATGCTTCGTGAGAAACTGACGCGACACTTCGTGCTTACAACTTATAGGATAACACTCATTGCTAACTGGGTAGAACGGCATGAACGCAAGGTCCACAAACGAATCAATAATTTCAAAATATTGGAAATTTAAATCGACGAAGATCCCGCTTAAGGCAAAATAATGACAAGGATATATGTCGACGAACTGACAGACTGGACCCAAAAGGAAGATCCAGCGATCAACGGAAAATCTCAGCGACAACCTCGAGAACAAACTGTTTTTCACCCTGAGGACGGTCCTTGCCACGTGCGAGGCTACACTTTACATCACCGCAAAATTGTCGATCAGCGGCTCGCACCTGGTGCGTTTCCATCACTGGTTGCTCCCCTCCCTAAATCGATCTTCATCCGATCGCCGTTGGTTGAGCAACGAGGCCGAACGCCCATTTGGATCCCGCCCTCCGACAGTCCGCAATGATGAGGACTGTAATTAGTCCGCGGCCACAGTAGTGGGCTATTCTCTTTGATCAAAAGTGAGCAGAAACGGGACTGGAGGGCAAGTGGTTAACCGGAAGCCTTTCATCCAATACCATACGCCCGCTAGTCCTCGATGTTCTAACATTTGCGTCGCTACTAAAGATGCCACATGCAATTACACGGGTTCAGCGATGTAGAACATACACAGAATTTGAGAGAGGTCATAGCGCGTTCGTCCATGGTAAAGGCAACGTTCAAATTTCCACAGGCGGTTCAAGCCGCTTCGGTCGCGCAATTCGGCGATCGATGCCATCGTATTTTCGATGCATCCCATTCGCGTCGAACACGCGACGTCGCGAAGTCTGAACGCTGCCTAAGGCGTGTGACTGGCCGTGCGGCAGTGGTGACGGCACTCTGGTGCCACTACGCTTCAGCCTGGTTGCCCTGCATTTTTGAGTGAAAATTGGCACGCTATTGCAGCTGCAGACCCATTAACCTCTCATAAGCATCGGGGTCCACAGAGGTGGGTGCACAGTTTGTCTCTCCCGCCCAACACGCAAGCCCCTGAAGATTTAAGATAAATTGTCAAAGCCTAAAAAAATTTAAATAAATTAGGCCAGATGTTAAAATAAAAAAAAGACAGACCGTCAATTTTTTGGTTAGGTGACGGTAGGACCACGCGACGTCGCGGGTCATGATTGTCATGATTACAAATACGATGGGCGCTGGCTCGCGGCGGTTTTTACAGCGACATGAGCATCTTCCCACCTTTTTTCTTCAACAGTGGCAATCCGTACGCACCTCCACAAAACAACAATGAGTGCAATTTATGAAAGTATGATGGACCTGAAAGCGATGTGACAGTAGGGAGGTCGAGGTTCGGTTATGGTAAGACAGCGTTCAGACTTTGCGACGGCAGCGCTTCGGTAGGGATTAGCAGGTAAGCTGAATTGACTCGCGAGCAGATTGTGTGAATGTTTCCCTGCCGCATAATTGCCATGTATTCACTCTATTTATGCAATAAAAACAAAACCTAACAGTCATGCCAGAATGAAGAACGCAGCTTACTGAAGCGAACACAATCCAGTTTGCAGTAACGGCGACCGAGCTATCGCGAGCGTGCGCTCTCATCTTGCAAGCCCGCGGAGTTTTGCAGATCTGGAGCGTATGCGACGTCGCGAGGTCTACGTTATCATCTCGCAGAATTTTGCTGACACAAACTCTCGTATTAACTGAAAGAACAGCCCAATCAGGGGACTTGGGTCGCTTTTCTTCTGATTTCTGACTATTACAAGATTTCAATTACAAATCTAAGGTAACACGATGATTCAGCCGTCGAAATGTTTCCTGTGAGCCCTTTTCATACCATTGATGACGCCTGCTAATGTCAATAGTTCAACGAAATATTATGGAAATATATGTATACTACAATAAATAAAAATATGCAAATATTGAATTTCCGTGACCACGAAAGGAAAAAACACTATGGTATTCTGAACAAACGTCGGCGAGCCATCATCATCACATTTTGTCTTCTTTGAGGAATACGCCCTAGTCCGCTCCGGGTAGCCGGGAGGGCATTATGTTAAATCTCCTAGTAGTTTTTTAATGACCTCAAAACTGCCGTCGAGCTACAGGAAAGTATCGAAGTAATCGAGATTCGATCCCACGGAGCTTCTAGTCGGCTGTTTGAGTGAAAAGCCTCACTTCTCGCGCTTACAAAGGTTCCGTCGAACCTTGGTCATCCAACATTTACAAAAATCTTTGAAATGAAAAGGAGCGGGGGACATTTTCTAGCTTCAGATGACTTTATAGGACTTCATAGAATCGGCCCCTGTGTTGGCAGGAGTTAGCAAAGTGTCCTCCGTCCGAAACGAACTTGTTAAGAATTATTCCATTTTCTGTCAACGAGCACCATATTCAAGAACACCAGGGCCATGGATTGAACTGCACCCCTTTGAGGTAGGGTACAACATCGCGATGTGTGAAACAGCCGTGTCGGTACATCTTACTCCCCCATCTTCCTCTTTCTGTACAATCCTCCTTTATTCACCATCTTCCTGAATTTTTCACTTTCCTGTCACTGTTCCCAGTGTTCCAGAAATTTCTCCTTTTTCCCAAGAAAATGCCGTTGAGCGGGCGTCGTCATCAAACAACTACTATTTGCTTATTAGTTCTACAGCACACATCACTCAAATAGGACCCCTCTAGTGGACCAAGCGCAACCCCCAGACGGGACTCTCCACGACGTTGCGCCCTGTTTCAATGACGAGACGAGAGTAGTTGTAGTACGAGTGACGAGCTCATCAGTTTTATGCTTGTAATCGCCCTCAAGGTTCAATTATCCAGACCACAAGTAGCTTACAATGAAGAACTTTGATTTGAACCCCGTCAAAGGGCGCGCCACGCTTTCAACAGCCACTCGTAATCGCTAAGGTATATGAACGCAAACTTGGCCCATGCAGCGACTAACCTTGGCACATCTGTGCGAAAGTCATTGTTTCATCTTTCATATTAGTACTATGATTACTTGATGGAAAGTAAAAAAAAAGTGGATGGGGCAGGTCGGTCAAGAGGAGGCATTTAGATGCACCCTTGTTCGAAACCTTGAGTACTGTTATTCGGAACCACTTTTTGCCCAAGGAAGCCTGTTCACCATCCTGGAGTTCGTTACCTCCAGAACCCTCTTCCCTAGCATGGCAGCTCTAGTTTTGCTCGCGAAGTACTTCAAATGGCCCTACTGCTTCGGAAAAAAATCTGATAGCTGTTTTGATTTTTATTTTCAGTTGCAAGACGCCACAATGCAAAGGCAAGAGCTTAAGCGATTTGAAAGAATGCCATGGATGATTGTG